AATGTTTTGCGAGGAGAGAAAATGAGGCGCTGATGTGGTACGGTCAAAAGTCAGCCTCAGCAATAAATAGGAGAAATTGCAATTTTATCGTACTGCCCTTTTCACATTTAATTTAAAAAAAAAGTGACTGACACGTGGGGACCATGGAAGGGGTTACTGATGGGTTACTGACCCGATCTGGACCGGTAGTCAGGCCTTTATTGGCATTACAATATTAACAACAATTTAATAACCAAATGATGTGGACGTGGATGTTTAGTTTTGACATATCAGCTAAAATATAGAACTAAAATAATTTAATAGACAAATTCTAAATTTTGTGAAAAATCATAACCAAATTATTATTATTATTTTCTTTGCAAAATAATAGTCAAACTCTTTGTGAATAAAATTTAATAGTCATTTTCATTAAAATTAGCCCTAGAGTTAACCAAATTATACGTAAGTCCAGGTGTCTCGATTTCACAACACCAAATTAATTAAATTTTTTTTGTTTAGGTTGAACATAAAAAATGAGAAAATATTTAAAATAACTTGTGATTTGGGTCCAACTGTACACATTTTATCCCCGTTTTCCTTAGACGTTTGATGCATTTGTACTCCGTGAGGTGTGGTTTTACGCTAGCTTTCACTTTGTTTTAGTATGTTTCGATCCTAGCAAGTGAAACTGACCCTGGAATCGAAAGTGGGATGAAAAGGAGCGAAAATGAGTCAAAGGGTGGAAGCAGCTGAGGATCATAGCGGAAGCTGAGTTTTCATGGTCTTACGGACCATGAAAAGGGCGCCTAGACCGTGAAACGTTGAAGTTCCAGAAGCAAATTGCACATCTCATTAGAGTCCAACCAGTTCACGGTCGCTAAGACAGTTAACCAAAACCACAGACCATGAATAGACTAAGTAAAAAGGTGCGAATTTTCTCGACATCACGATCTAGGAAGAATGTTCACGGCCGTGAACTGGGACCATGAACTAACTTCGACCTGGGTATAAAAGGAGGGTTGAGCCGAAGAAAAAGGGAGAGAGACCTAGCGTGAGAAACTTCTTCTTCTTCGGCTTTCTAGAGAGGGAAAGTGATGAACCAAAGGAGAGAAGAGGTTAGGATTTCAACTCTAAGCAAGGTTTTGGGAATTTCTTCTCCAAAGGAGAATCTCTACACCACAAGGAGCAAGGCTAACATCTCCAAGATGGTTTTCCTTCTTCTCCCTTGTGTTTCCTCCTTACCTAGCATGGAGTAGTTTCTCTTTTCAATTGGGTGTGTGTAAACCCTAGCTACAATGATGTGAATGTTTGTATGGATTGAACGATTAGTGTGTGAGTGTGTTTTAATACAAAGTTATAAGGTATTTTCATGAATATTGATTGTGTTTGTGCATTTCAATGTCTTATGCTATTTTAACGTAAGTAGAGGGGAATCTCTTTTGAGTAGAGGCTTATAAAAGCTTGATTTCCTTGTCCAATTTTTGTCTCCTACTTAGGTTAAATTAGGGCAAACCTCTTAATTCATATTAGCATCTAGGTTTGGTTGTAATTTGGTCGTCCGAACTCCGATTCAAGGGTGAAGTCTAGGCAACCCTTGGTTGATAGGCCAAGGGAGCTACTTTGGTAGCTTGAATCGGAATCCCATGGCCTATTGACCGACCAAGTGGCGTTTGTTCACTAGTTGCACATTCCAACGGTTTACAACTGCCTTTCCCACACCTATGCATTCGATCCGACAAGTCATTATTGTTAGCTAGGGGGGAGCAACACCTGGGTGAAGCCTTCTCAATTAGTGCCAATCCATTTACTTTTCCAAACGTTTTAGTTATAGATCGTTGTCTTAATTAAATACCAATTGCTAGATAGTGTTTCAAACAATCTAAGTAGGGGTATATGATCCGGCCCGGGTTGATATTTAAACAGACTTCCCTATATTGCACCCGGTTAAGTTTTATACTTGAGCCTTAATTGGGATTTTTATTGTGGTATTCGGGATGTGTCAACTAAACAGGAAAAATAGAGTTTGATTAATATTTTCCTTCCTTTCTACTTCGCCTAAAACTCTTTTTCCTCCTCCTCCTTATTCTTTTTCTTATAAGAATACTCTTCCTCTTCCTTCGTGAATTGTTTGATTCTTTTGATTGTGACCTTGAGTAAAAAGCTCTAAGGATTTTCTTCCTTTGAGGACATTGAAGGGCTTTTTTCGTTGAAATGTAGCTTTTTGGTGTTTAGAGCTGACCACCCGGTTACAACATCCGCTAGTCAATAAGTCAACCCACTAGGTTGAAGCCAGAAAAAGAATATTATGGGATGATTAAGGAATCAGTAGAGGTTTAAGAGGAGGAGAAAGAAAGAAAAAGATAAATCGTATGAGAGGATAAGAGAATAAACTTTCCTTAATCTTTTATATATATATATTTTTTTAATCAGAATTTGCTTAAGTTTTATTAATGAACAATTACGATTACATCGTCCAGCATCAGCTGATCAACAAGAAAATTATGTGGCCTATGAAGCCAAACAATACTCTCATCCCATCGAGTTTCCGCGTGTGCCTTAAATTCAGCTGCCTTGTTTGCTTCCCGATAGATGAACTTCTATCCAATGTCGCCCATATGCGTAAGTTTCCGACAGATGCTTCTGCACAGTACTCCCTCTTTCGTTTGCACCTGGTTCATCTTGTCCATCATTTGCATTAGTACCTGACTGTAGTACTCTAGAATGGGTCACCGAAGCTGCATATGCTAGACCAGCTACACTCTGAGGAAAGGATAAAATGTTCTCCATTGTCCCTTATCACCACTTCAAGGCATGCCCTTCCGGTCGGCAATACACCGGTGTTTGTGGTAATCGAGATAGAATCATCGTTCGACCATTTCCATTGCTTTTGCGCTCTTTCACTATGATCCATATGAGCCACCTGCTTGTGCCCTTGTTGCTACTTATAGGCTTCAAGATAGATGGTTGCCCTCACCACAATTTCCTCCTCTGATGTCTTTTGCCCATTAAAGAGTTGGGCATTCCGTTCTTTCCATAGGAACCAAACCAGTATAGATCATTCCTCCAACATCCTCATATCCACCTCTGCCATCACCTGTTGCACCCATGCCAAATAGTTCTCATCCCCCCAGCTTCAAAACAAGAGAATAGTGAGGAATGACAGAAAATTCTCATCATCCAGCTGCATTCCGCTAAAAAATGACTTGGGTCTCTCGGAGATTTCAAAAGGGGCACTTATCACTCCATTTGGAACTCTTTTCACTAATATGATCGCCCATTGGAAGAGTATTCCTCATAAACCTCCACATTAACTGTTTGATCATCACCGGCAGAGTCAATCCCCACATGAACTTCCACGTACTCTCATCTTCATGCATAGTTAGGCCATGTTCCATCACAAACTCTTTTAGACATTCATTGTAACCTTCCTTCCATACAAAATCACCATTTCTACCCCAATGAAAAGTAGCTTATCTATCTCCTCGTTGCCCCAAAGTGGTATCTGCTTGATCGCTTCAACGATGGTAGTCGGGAAGCAGCTTTCTAGGAGATCGACGTCCCATTATTCTGTCTCCATTTTAGTTAACTCCCTGGCACACAAATCCACTGGCAAACCCATTGACACTGATGTGAAAAAAATTCTAGGCACCAAGGTCAGCCATTTGCCTCCCAAATGTTCACGCTCAGTCCATTTCACACTCGCCACCGAATTCCACTCCACAGGAATTCCTGTGCGCTCATGAGTGAGTTGAACTTGTGGTACTTTCCCTTAATAATCCTCGCACTAAGTAATTCTGGGCGTTCCGGGAGACGCCACAGTTGCTTTGAAAGTAGCACCGTGTTAAAACCTTGCAAGTCGCAGAACCCCAGTCCGCCCTTGCTTTTCTATTGCACTAGTTCCTCTTTGCAGATCCAGTGTGCACATCCTTCCAATCTTCTTTTCCCCCACCAAAATTTGACGATCATGCTGTTAATTTCATCCATTACTCCTTCATGAACTCGGAAGACAAACATGGAGTATGCTAGTTGTGCTTGCTCTACCGCCTTGATCATAACCTCCCTTGCCGTTGCGAACATAGTTTGTTCTTTCTGACCTTTTAACTTCTTTTGAATTCGCTCCTTCAGAGACACAAACAATTCCTTTTTTGATCTTCCAGCTTATGTTGCGAGTCCAAGGTACTTGTCATGCTTTCCAACAATTTTCATTCCCAGGCTGCCTCCCACCACCAATGAGGTTTAACATTCCAACTAAAAGATACCTCTGACTTTTGAAAATTAACCAGTTGGTCATATTCTCGTTCATAGTCGTTTATTATCTTCTTCAACTGCGAACTTTCCTTTGAAAAAGGAGCTAAGAAGGAGATTAATCATACGCACAAAAGTAAAATTAAACAACAAGTACTAATTATATATAGAAAAGGTTTTAAGAAGTACTCAAAATAAAAAGCACACACATACTACTTAAACATCCTACAAAGTTCATTATTCAAATGAAAATGAAAGATGAGAAAAGGGGTAGAGAAATGGCCCTCGGTGCCATCCATGCTATAGAAGGCTCACTCCCCATCGTTGTCCTCATTAGATGCCTCGAAGTTGTGATCGTATGTGATCTCGAGATAGTCATGATCCTCCGCTGCGTACTCATCTAGCGTTGTTGGTTGGCGAGGATGAGATCATTCTGTCACCCTATGTTGGTCAACCTCACCTCAAAGGTATCCATCCTGTAGGTGAGTCCCACATGAGAAGGATCGACATCATCACGAAGTGGAGGTGGAGGAGGAATCGCCTAGTTGTCGTCCTGTGCCTCGGCATCATCATCATCATGCTCATCAACTAGCACGTGATCGGCGACAAAACCCATCTTGTAAAGTGTCAAGGGCCCTATAGGAAAAGGGTGTGGTGTTCGATTTTGCTTGGGATCGGAAATATCGGACTGCCACATCGAAGTGTCGCGCCAAGCGGGTGACATAAGCACCACCATGGACCTTCCCACACTTTTCCGTAGCAACCTGAACAAACAATCAGACAACCGCCCATCCCAAGTGGATCGGGACTTGCTCGTGAAGCTGGTGGAGGATGTAGAGGTCTCTCATGGACACCGAACCTCCACTTTCATTCTTGCCCGTCAGAGAGTACCCAATGAGGGTGTGGCAGATGTCCATCAAAGGGGTGAGTTGAGTCATCTTCGCATGCTTCGTCGTCCACCCAGTGGTGATGTTCGCCTTAGAGAGGTTGTCCCTCCAAGATTGGAGAAGCACCTCTTGATTCACATCTCCTTCTCTCTTCAGGTTGCGGTAGGCTTGTATCCCAGTGAACTCCTCAGTGTAAATGTCGAGTGCCACACTGAAGGATGTGACACTCATACTCCCTTGGACACCTCCAAATCTAAAATTGATCGTGCCCTCCTCATCGAAGTTGAAATCATGGTTTGTCCCATAAAGTCACTTGAAAGTCACCAAGAACTCCACCATAAGCTCCTTATAGATGGTCTCCCTCATGGAAAGCAAAGTCACCCATTCGCCAGTTCTTAGGAGCTCTCGAACTTCCCTCACATATCCAGTGGCCCACATTCCCCTCCAAGCCAAGTGTCGGTGATCCCCAATATCCTTTCCTAACATCTTTCTTGCCATCTCGGTCATGTTCCTCCACAGATTAGGATCCACTAGTCCATGGTGGTGTGGAAGATTTAGAGGAGGCATTGATAGCGCCGTATTTGCACATGTTTGCACCCTTGTTTCTTAACCTTTTTGGCTCAAATTTGTGGTGTCTTGGCCTATTTTACGCTAGGTTGTGTTATTTTGTCATATTTCAGGTCCTAGCGAATAAAGGGATGCATAGGCGCAAGTTTCGGGTCTTTTGGAGATCGTTTGGTCATTCGGGAAAGAAACTCGAGCATTACCTGAGGAAGATTGAATTTCTACCTCATATTATAGACAAATAATCATGTAATTTTTTCATGAAAAGAAAGAGGACGAGACTACGAGAGTATGGGATCAAACGGCGACTGATTCAAAGTCTGGTTGAGGGAGAAACGAAGCATTAAACAAGAGCGGAGGAAGAAATACGGGCAGGAGAAATACGACCATATTTTTTCCTCCCATGCTCGTATTTTTAGTGCCGAGAGGAGCCTTGGATGCGCTGAGACATAACCAAAACACGCGTTTTGGGCGAAATACGGACAGGGAAGAATTACGACCATATTTATGCCTATATTTCGCCAATAATCAGGTTTTTTAGGCATATTTGACCTAAAGGAAAGGGAGTCAACTTTTTGGAGCAAAAGTAGAGTTCTAGAGAGAGAAAGTGCAAAGAACAGACCCTAGGAGCTATTTGGAGTGGATTTCTCACCATTGAAGCTCATATTGCATCCCTAGAAGTGAAGATCGACATCCTAGAGCAGATTATTCCCATCTTTATGAGTATGACTGCTCTGATTTCTGTTTTCCTCTCTCTCATTCTCTCTCTCTATATATATATATATATATGGATTAGAACCCTCTCTCACTTGGGTATGAAGAAACCTAGTTCCATGTATTAGGGATATTGGTTGTAATGACTTTTGGTTTGTGATACTGCTTGATTATAATCGATTAAAGTGTTTTAATTGAGTCAATTGAAGCCTGATCAACTTTTCCTGATTTCTGCTGCAACCTGAGATAGATAGAATCTGATTAGGTTGTTAGAGCTTCTTCCATCCGTAGTAGTGAATCGATTCTACGAGAGTTAGTCGATTCGCTGCTCTGTACTGGAATCCAATTCCAGTAGTGGAGTTCTGTATTAATTGCCTCAGCATTCTATCCCGGTGAAGACTACTCGTCTGCCGGGTAGTCTGTCTGAGAGAGCTTGGTCAGCTTAAGAGATTCCAAGCTACTGTTGGATCTTCCGCGGTTTAATCAACAATAAATGAACCAAAGGTAATTATAAATTTGACCTAACTAAGGAGCTAGGGGGACTCATTCCCGAGTGACTCTTCCCTTGCTTAAGAACTTCGAACCATTTCCTGCTTTCTTACTACTTTAGCTTGAAATCACATTCACTCAACTTAGTCTGCTAGATAATAGATAATCATGGAGTAGGCAGTAGATCTAGACCCCGGGTAGATAAATAGAACTTGCCACTATTCTGCATTTCCGAACTGCAATTACACTTGGTCGCAGTTTGGTGTTGTGTTTTAGCGTGTCAAGTTTTTGGCGCCATGGTCGGGGAACTTCTAGGTTATTGTGGAAAGGTGAAATTTTGTTACCCTAGCTTTTTCTTTACTGTATTCTCTCTCTTCCACCTTTGTGCCTTCACGGGTTGTGTTTGCATTCTGTGTGCAGGTAGTGCATGACCTGTAGCCAGTCAGGAGACTTACTGCCATTAGACCAAGAGCTTGAACGAACTTGTAGGAACTTCAAGCGGGCTTTAAAGGAGTGACTAGCTGTGGAGGAGGCTCTAGCACAACTACAGATTAACTAGGAGAAAGACAGGGGTGAGCCTCAAAACAACATTGTCGTTGTCCCGGATGAGCACACCACGGGATATTACTGAACTGTCAGAGCTGCGGACATGAGGTCACCCATCCAGCACCCTCAAGTTCCAGCCAATAACTTCGAAGTGAGCACCTCTGTCATCACCATGCTGCGCGACTCGGTGGTATTCCGTGGAAAGGAGGGGGAGTGTCCCAGATCGCATCTGCGACGATTCCACAAGCTCATCGATAGGATTATGATAAATGGGGTTTCAGCCAATGCCATCCAACTGAGATACTTCCCATTTACTATGGAGGGGCAAGCCAAGGAGTGGCTGGACACTCGGCCTCCAGGATCGATCACCACGTTCGCCAACCTGGCAGACAAGTTCCTCACCCGCTATCACCCTCTGTCCAAGACGGCAGACCTGTAGAAGAAGATCACCCACTTTTCACAGGAGGAAGATGAAAACATTCGGGATGCTTGGGAAAGATACACCATTCTTTTTCTGAAGTGTCCCAATCATCGGTTCAATGATGCCTTCAAGGTTTGCGGCGGAAAATGCTAACCAAGACCCCGCCGCAGCTGAATCAACTCTTTGAAAAGATGGCAGAGCAGGGATATGATTGGGGATTAGCCAGGAGATCGAGACGAGCACCAGGTCGGGGTTTGCATGTTATAGCCACCTAGTCATCTGAGTTGGTGCAGGTGGTATCTAAGCTGGTCTCAGCCATTGATCATTCTGGAATGGTCCGAGGGATAGGACAACAGCAGGCGATGCATTGCCAGTGGTGCGAGAGCACCCATCATACTGTGGAAGACTGTCAGGCATTGAGGGAGTCGACTACACCCCAGGAGCAGGTGAACTTCATCAACAATGCTAGGCGCAATGACCCCTATAGCAACACGTATGATGAGGGGTGGCGCCAACATCCCAACTTCTCTTAGGGTGGAAATAATCCTAAGCCACCAGTCTCCCAGGGACCTCCAGGCTTCTAGAGACCGCCATATTAGCCCTGGCAGGGGCAATTCCAGCAGCAGCAACAATCTCTCTACCATCCCATGTAAGGGCAGGCTGCTCAACCGCAGTCGCGACCTTTCTAGCAACCAGGTGCAATTCCTGCAACCCCAGTGCAGAATGATCCGATAGCTGAACTGTGGGACTTGAAGGTTCTCTTGCCAGTTCCAGTGCTCATATATTCAACACTATCGAGCAGTTCATGGTAAAGGCCTCGAGTAAATTCCTGGCTGTTGAAGCTGGCCAGAGGAACACACAGGCTGTTTTGCAGGATATCCAAACCCGGCTGCGGAGTGTGGCTCAAGTAGTGGCATAGAGGGCTCCGGGTACCTTGTCGGGTCATACCATTCCGAATCCAAAGGATCCGAATGCCCATTGTAATGCTATCACTACAAGTAACGACAAAGTGACTGCAGACCCACCTGCCCTGGCCAAACATGCAGGAGAGAGACCTGCTTTGGCATTTCCAGCTGTTGAAAAATAAATGGAGAAGGTGGTTGAGGTGCCTACTGCTAAGCGGCAACCAGGGGTGAAGGAGTATGTCCCTCAACTTCCCTTCACTACTCGGTTACACAAAGATCGGCTAGAGGCAGAGTTCGGGAACTTCATGACCATGCTTAGGAAGCTGAATGTTCAAGTGCTCTTCCTGGAGGCACTATCTCAAATGCCTAAGTATGCAAAGTTCCTGAAGGATATTCTCTCGAAAAAGCAGAAGCTGAGCTAGCTGGCCACTGTGGAGCTCAGCGAGGAGTGTTTGGCCATCTTGCAGAACAAGCTCCCGCAGAAGCGGAAGGACCCAGGTAGTTTTACTATCCCGTGCTCTATTGGTAATTTACATGTAGAGAGGTGAACCCAGTGCAACTAGGATGAATATTCAATTAGCTGACCGATATGTAGTTCATCCTAGGGGCATAGTGGAAGACCACCTGGTTAAGGTTGACAGATTTTTCTATCCTGTGGATTTTGTTCTCTTTGACATCAATGAAGACGCAGAAGTGCCCCTTAATCTAGATAGGCCTTTCCTAGCCACCGCCAAGGCTCTCATAAATGTGCATGATGGGACCCTGACTTTGACAGATGGCGAGGAGCAGATAACATTTTCCATTGCTAATAATATGAATGTTATCTCGCCTATGCATGTTTTATCTCACTAGGTACACGAGGCTATCGTGTATCCTTCTGTGTCTCCCATTTTGCAGGACTCTGTACCCCCTCCTCCTCCACCGCCCCCGCTTTCACAGTTACCAACAGAGCGGATTAAGGAGGAGTGGCGGCCGAAATTGCATGTAGCTTAACCTGCTAGAAAGAAAGCTGGAGACCATTATGAGCTGGTTCTGGCTCCTGAGCCACGACCGCGTTGGCTATCCGAGTATTCACTAGCTTGCATCCTGGAGGATGGCCAGATCGAGTTGACGAGTGCTGGTGGTCACACTCGCCGTGTGCATGGCCACCATCTAAAGTTATACCTCAAGAGCGATATGGATCCTCTCTTGGAGGCACTTGTTCCTACACCGCTCTGAGCATCCACCCTATTGGCGTCCAGCTAAAAGACGGTAAAGAAGTGTAACACCCTACCCTATACGTTTTGCCTAATGATATTGTTCATACAATTGCAGCGGAATTAATCCCGGGTGTTACATTAATTACCAAAAATTTACCAAAACAAAATTTCGACATGAATTACTCGCGTAATGGGCTAAAAGTTCTTGTAACTAAAACCTGCAAAATAATTTATCTGAATCCATGCATTCAATGACAAACATATACTAACAACCATATACATGGACTTCCATAGCCATAGTCACAGTTTCATACTCCACAACTGCATACCATACTTATACGTACCATAATCGTCATAACTTACACAACCACATAAATATACACATATCATTAA